AGAGTTTTATAAAAGTTATAATTGGTACAGTGATATACCATGGATTACATATTTTTAGCCATGGTATATAAGTTTTTTAATATCTAACTATTGTGTGTTTAGAGTCTATTTAGCATATTTATAGGTTCAGAAGTGATTTGGAAGAAAGTGATGTTTTTGGAGTATTTTGGAGATAAAAGAAGAATTCACCAGAGGTGACCATCGAGCAGACCAAAGGTCGACGATCAGAGTCAATAATAAATCGATGCACACCATGTGCCATCGATCGACAGCCAAGCGAGCAGGAACCCAATTTGGTTCCAGTCGACTTTAAACCAAAGACTTCAGCAATTTACAAGTTTACCCGCAAATGAGTTTTTACCTAGTATTTATAGCTTTGCCAATTGTTTGAGGCAAAGTGTGCTTTCGTATTTTCTAGTTTTCATACCTAAAGATTTAGTAAGAATTTGAGAGATGACCTAAGACTTCTTCAAAGCTTGTTATTAGAAATCCATTATTATTACTTATCTATTTATGTAGTTTCTTTATATCTTGTTGCTATGATTCCTTAGCTATGTCTGAGTAGTTCTATTGTTAGGTTTAGGGTTTAATATGTTATGAAGGATTAGCCCCAAATATCGATGCTTGTGTTATAGAATAGCTAACTAGAACTCTGATCTTAGAATTATTAGGCACAAGCGACAACTTGGTCTTTTATATGAATAGATCTTTATTGAGCTAGGATTGCTAGAAACAAGTGAAAACTGATCTAGGAACCCTACTGAGTACTTCATCAATCCGCACGAAAAGCTTGCTAGAAGCACGTCGATCGATATTACTATAGAATCATTGATCGATGGTTTGAAAGGTTTATCGTTTGATATTCCTATAGAATTATCGATTGACACTTTTATTGATCAACAGACGACAATTGAGATCATTAGATCTAGACAATAGACGAATCTAAACATGCGACAGCTGATCGATTTGTTCTCTAAGTCGAGCTCTATAATATCTTGCAAGCAACTGATTAGTATCTATATCTCTATAATTCTGATTACCTGAATAGAAATCCTAAGTCCACATTTTTCTCATATTGTTACAAAACCTCAATCCAACCAACTAACAACTACCTTGTTCCACCCTGCAATTTGCTTTTAGACATATTCAACCTAGCTTAATCATTTTGATTAGATTTTTTGTGCGTCCTAGCTCTTTGTGGATTTGATCCATAAGTATTACAACTGAACCTCTTATTCATGAGAGTAATTCACTCCTTAGGATAATTTGAATGATATCATATAGTAAAGTTTTCTCTATGATCTATCCAAATATTTTTCTCAGTTCTAACAAAAAGTGTTTGTTATTTACAAAATATAATATATGTTATAGGTTTTTACTTCATTGTAGAAAAATTAAGGAAATGTTAACTTGTCTTCTATCTTTTACTCTATATTTTTAACTCTAAAAAACCTAGGAAGCAATCCTAAGTAATTTTATTCAAACTTATTTTATTTTTGACGTTAAGTTACAGTGAAACACGTAAATTCAACTCTTTATCCAACAATCTTACATTAGTTAGGAGAATCTTTACGAACACATAGCTTTAAATGTTTAAACATTTGAGTATTAAAATATTTACTATAACACAAGCTAAATTAACAAATTTTTACCCCAAACACAAACTCTAATTAGTATAAACTTCAATTATATCATAAATCCCCAAAACAAAATTAGAGGAAGAAACCGAGAAAGAGAAAGAAACCCCAGATGAAGACCACGAAGAAGGAGCTATGATGTCTGGCAAAAAGATTGCCAGAGAGAGAACGGATGAAAACACAAGTGAGAACGCCAATGAAAATGTAAGTGAAAACGCTGGTGAAAACGTCCAAAATATCGCCGGAAATTGTTTCAGTCTATTTTTTCGTGAGAAGACAATTTGTAAAAATGCAGAGTAAATAAATGACAAATATTCTTAGGTTAAAGGTTTTTAATGAGATATTAACAAAAATAAATATTATATATATATATAAAAATATATTAAGTTGATAAAATTTATTTTTAATTATAGGGTTAATTAAGGTATACAATGCAAGCCCTCTTGGTCTCCAGTAATTTGAATAAAGGTTCACTAATGTTTTTAAATTAGGATGTGTAGGTTTAATTCACAGAGATGAAAAATTATGCAGAATATTAGAAAAAACATTTACACAAAAAAATCAGCATGGCGCAAAGAGTACCGTCAAGAATAGATCTCAAGAAGTAGTTCAGAGTGATACAGTCATACGTGAATTATAGTTTATAGTAGTATAATTAATCATTTTAAAATAAAATAAAATAAAGTATGCTGAGATAGAAACAATGGGCTCAAAGTATAAGGGGCAAATCCTTTCTTAATATGGTTCAGTTAACCAATTGTTTCCTTTTTTTAATGTAGACCATGTTCGTTTTTGTAACGCATGCATCTTCTTGATGTAACATTTGAATACAACACCTAGATAATGCATTCAGATATTGTTTATTTTCATAGTTAGTATTTGCATAAATATCTACACATTAAGTTGTTCATTTTTTATATTTTGTAACAGCATTTGAATACTATAGTAATTAAAAAGAGTAAAAAGGGCATGGTTTTTATTCTTAATAAAGAAATGACTGTAATATTCAAGTAAGTATATGTAAAATTCATTTTGCATTTTTGTGAAAAACTCATTTTTAATGGTTTTGACAGGAAACTTTGTTTCTGATTTGGCAGAAACCATATAATTTCCGATTTTAGCAAACAAAAAACGTTTTAACAGTTTTGATGGGAAAACATAATTTTATAGTTTGGGAAGAAATATGATTTTTAATTGAGAAAATTTGCTTAATATACCAAAAGAAACTCAATATTAGGGATTTGCCTTGGTTTTAGTGGAAAAAATAGTGAGGGAGGGGAGGAGAGATAAAAGAGAAAGAGGGTAGATAGTTAATTTAGGGGTTTAGTTTGTATATGAGGTGCAAACTCTCTTTTTAATTTTGACGGAAAAACAAAATTTCCGACTTTGGCGGAAACATGAGAATTTTCCGTTCGGTGTGAAAGCACGATTTTCTGGTTTTGCGAAAAAAAAATTTGTGATTTTGACAGGAAAACGTAATAATATAGTTTTGGTGAGAAAACCCTTTTTTGACCGGATAATGTAATTTTTTGGTTTTGACGAAAACACAATTTTCTAATTAAAAATATCATATATTTTTTTGACCAACAAAAAAGTATTATATAATTATTGCAATAAATAATTTCATTAATTTTTTTTTATTTTTCTTAAGGTTAATTAGATGTTTGAGAATTTGCACTCCCTACACACAACTAATACTATATTTGCACTCCCTACCCTATTTCCCCCAGTTTTTGCTCTCCCATCATCAATATTTCTTCCCGAACTTAAGGTATTCAACACCTTTTAGTATTTTGAGCAAATTGACTCTAGATGTTTTAGATTTTAAAATGCAAATATATCATCCAAACATATATTGTAGATTTTGCATCTAAATACTGTAATAGTGTTCAAATGACATACTTCCTCTTTGTTAAAGTCTCTCTCTTCTTGAAGAGAGAGAAAACTCTCTCAATCTTTACCCTCCTATCAAATTTCATATCTTTCAGAGGGTAAATGATTAGATGAGTTTTTTTGTGGTAGTATATGTTCAATCATTAGATTGATTTCTCTTCGGGTTAGTTGATTCTGTTTTTTTCGCTTGGCGATGTTGAAACTTCTGGTTAGCGGATTTTCTTTGCGGCTTTCTCCAATTTTGTTGTGTAGTAGACTCAAGGTGGAGCCTTTATTAATGATCTATCTTTTATCTCCAGGCTTGAGCCGTAGTATCTCTCTCCTTCTTTCGAATTTTTTTTTATAATCTAGTTTATTTTGTATTGGATCTTCCTCTTCTTTTTAGATAAGCACTTATTCCTTTTGATTGGAATCAATCTTCTCTTTCCCTGAGGTGGAGTTAAAGTTTCGGCTTAGAGAGAAGTATCCTTGATGAAGGGAGGATGTGGTGAAGGATTGATCTCAGTTGTCTTCGATGGAGACTTAGCAAATGTCGGCATCTTCTCTATATTGAGGATGGTCTGACAAATGGAGGCATCAGAGTTATTCCAAAAGTATATATCTAATGGTTGATGGAAATTTGATCAAAAGAAACAGCTTGGACGAAATTTAGGAGTTTTGGTGTCGGTGTTTGGAGCATATCTACTCTTTGATGAGGCTTTCAATCTTCGCTACGGTGGAGAAAGAGTTGAAGAGCGATTGCACAGAAAGAAACACGGTGGTGGAGCTTCTCAACGGTTGTGACCGCCGGTGGAGGCATGGAGACGTGTCAATATTTGCCTATTACGAAGCATTATCTAACACATGGAAAATATATCTAAGTTGCTTTTCTTTTTGGGAAAATTCCATATTAATACCCGAACTAAATTTCATTAAGCTATTAAATAGCCCAACTATTTTCATGCCCAGTTAAATACCCCAACTATATATTTTACCTACTTTAAACCTCCAACTATTTCCCGCTTACTCATATTCCATCGGTTCGTTAACAGAGTTAGACGGAGGATTAAACGAGGTTTATTATTAGTTTATTCCTTAACCATGGTTAACTCGAGCATTAATCTCTTCTCTCTCTATAAATCCCCAATTGCCAGAACCCTAAATCCCTAATTTTAGAACATAAATCAACGCAACGAGTGGAGGAAGATGAATCGAAGCTCGAGCTCTGAAGTTAGGTCCAGCGCAATTAGTGGAGGAATGACGTCCGATGATGTGAGGTGTCTCTGTGGGAAGCTGTTGCCGGTGAGGAAAGCTTGGACGGATGATAATCCAGGTAGAAGGTTCTATGGATGTGAAGGTCCAAAGTGGAAGTCTTGCAACTTCTTCCAGTGGTATGATGTTGAGAAGCCTCACGGTTGGCAAAAAAATGCATTTTTGGAAGCTAGAGATCTAATTCGTGAGCAAGCTGCAGAGTTGAAGAAGCTTAGGGCCATGGTTGGGCGTGATGGTAAGCAAATGGAGTCTCAGATGTTGCTTCAGATGGAAGAAGAGAACAAGAAGCTGAGGGATATGGTAAGGTCTGACGGTAAGCAAATGGAGTCTGGGATGTTGCTTCAAATGGAGGAAGAGAACAAGAAGCTGAGGGCTATGGTTGAATCTGGAGGTAAAGAAATGGAGTCACAGATGTTGCAGTTGGAAAATGAGAACAAGAAGCTGAAGCAGGAGCTTGCACTGAGCTATGGAAAGGAGAAAATGGGTAGACAATTTGTGATAACATCATGGGTGGGATTTTTTTGTGTTACTGCTGTTATTGTTAATGCTTTGAAGTAGGTTCTACCTTATTCTATTGTAGCAGTCTATCTACCTTGTTCTATTGTGATGAAATGTTTTATGTTATGGAATTTAAGTTAAGTTTGCAAATGCATTTGATAAGGAAAACATTCAAAGTATCCAAACAAAAATAGAGACCATTCATTACATAAACCAAGTGATAAAAGCCAACATAGATAGACTCCTAAGTTAAGTTCACAAGTAGAATAAACAAAAGAGAGATAGAAAGCAACTATTTGTGTGATTTCGGTCCCTTGGAAGAGCTTCCTCCCATCTCTCTTGCAGTAGAACCAAAGCATTCAAACACTCGATCAGTGAAGGGGCACATGTACACGCCATGACCTCTTGGAACAGTCGCCTTCCGAGCTTGTCCTCTTCCAGGAGGTCTACCACGACGACCACGTCCACGCCCACGACCTGAAGCCACAGTAGATGATTTATTCATTCTGCGAGAAATACGTGTCATAGCTTGTCTTCTAATGGCTTCCAGCATATTAATCAAAGGAAGTTATCTTGCCCCTTTTATCGTCTTGTTGAAACTCTCTGATAAACTATTACAAACATGTGCAGATCTCGCATTTCCCGTGAAGAAAGCTAGGCACCAATTTGTGGGATCAACGGCCAGTAGGTCATCATGTGCATCTCTGTCGAATGCTTTGAGTTTAGCAATGTGAAGATCATACTCTCCCTTTGTCTTGCTATACGCCACATTCCAGAAGAATGGTTTGTACTCAAGATCTCCATACTTCTTTTTCCAGTTACCATACACATGCTTTGCGCAATTCCTATGCTCGGCCTTTGGAAGTACAGTTGCAAGAGCTATTTTTAATCCCTTTTGTTTGTCAGATATGAAGGTAACTCCATCTCCAACACCCAAATCCAAGTCACCGTTTAACTTCTTCATGAACCACTCGCAAGAATCCTTGTTCTCACCTCTGACCACAGCCCAAGCTATAGGATAAATTCTGTTTACTGCATCTCTTCCCACTGCAGATAGTATCTCTCCTTTCAACTCCCATTTTAAGAAGGGAAAATTGGAAAATTAGGACACTCTCAACTTGGATTTGTCCCTATAAGACTTTTAGAAGATTTTTTGAGAAAATAGGATTTTCAAATATGTTAATACCATAATACCCTTTAAATTAATCAATTAAGGGGAATTATAAATTTAAATTATAAACAAAAAAAACAAGAATCGGGACACAAAGTACAAAGGGGAAATCGATACCTAAATTTTTTTTTACATCATCTTCTCCGCTGAGCTCTCTTCCATGGTGATTCCGCCTTCTCTCTGACATAATTGTCTTCTGAAATCTTCATCTCTCACCTTCTCTAACCTTTCCGAGTCATCTTCCTCTTCCATCTCACCGAAGAAACAACAAGAAATCCAAGTCTTCTTCCTCAACAATTTTCGTCGGGTCAATTCCAAAATCGAAGTGTTCTTCCATCAATTTCTTCATTAGCTTCTTAACACTAGATATGAGCAACTTCAATTTTCCCTTTTCTTTATCCATTATTTTTTCTTAAACGTCGATTGTTCTTGTTATTTGTACGGTTTTGAATTCATCTTATACACCACTAATAATTCATGGTTTAATGTTGTTGATTTGTATATGTAGAAAATCGATTAAGATTTTTGTCAAGAGGGAAATCGTAATGGTACTAGTTGTTCTTGGATTATGGTTGAAATCGATTAAGGTTTTTGGAAAGAGAGATATTATCATTTTAGTAGACTACTTGTTCTTCGATTATGGTTTAAATATCGCTTATGATTTTTGGAAGGGGGGGGGGAATCTCTTATACTAGACTAGTTCATCTTTTAGTAATGTAGACTAGTAGTTCTTCAATTCTGTTTGAAATTGTAAATTAGTTGGTCTTGAAATCTTGAACTAACTATTTTTTCATGTCTTGTAGATATGTCTGAGGATTTACCAAAGAGGCTTTTTAAAGAGGGCGAGGAGACCCAAGTGACTCAGATAAATAACAACTGCAGGATCGACTACATTCTGAAAAAGTTTGAAGCGTGGTCGCCAAGGGAGTTGGATGTTCTGAAGAAAGATCCGGTTTTTTTTTCCAGATTTTCAAGCTACAAGAGAATGGTCTTGGATACTCTGCGAGAGTGATACACAGCATGTTGTGTAGGGAGCTTGTGACTTACAAACATCACGAGCTTTGGTTTGACTTTGCGAGGAGACCACTTCGATTTTCACTTCAAGAGTTCTACGCAGTAACCGGGTTTGAGTGCAATACTGGTATCCCACTTGAGGAGTTTGATGAATGGGAAGATGATGATGGTTTTGGAGCAGGGTTTTGAGGAGAAAAGATGAGAAACATACACTGTTAAAGCTGTGGAATAACCACAAGTCAGCGGTTATGAAGTGGAAAAATGCAGATTGCATTCGACTGATCTACCTGTCCTTCATTCTTTGTGTGGTTTTAGCGAGAGATGAGAAGGCTAATATCCCCCTCAATTGGGTAAAGGTGGTCATGGATCTTGAGAAGGTTCGAAAGTATCCTTGGGGGGTTTCTGCTTATGATCTTCTCTGCGAATCAATAACTAAGAATCGTGACAAGCTGAAGGATAAAACTACTAGTTATGTGTTAGATGGTTTCTCCTACGCCTTGCAGATTTGGGCAATGGAAGCTGTACCAAAGCTTGGGAAGCTTTGTGGAAAGAAACAGAACAAAGATTTTAAGGACGGTCCTATGTGCATAAATTGGAGGGGTGCTGCAAAGGTGTCATATGAGGAGATCAACCGCTTGGAAAACATATTTACAGCTGAGGTAATTTTTGATTTTTTTAAGATTAATAATCCGAATTAAAATGTTTTTTGAGGTTCTAACTTTTTTTACCTTTTTTGTGTAGGATGTCACCTATCCATACATCTCATGGAGAGGGAATATGGTTGTAGTCGCGAGTTGTTTTTACAGAGAATATGTGAATGATGATAGAGTCAAGGAGCTGATGGAGTTGATAAGGACTAAGCATGACTTCAGTGACCATGTTTGGGCTTTCGAAGAAACTGCAGAGGTTTCTCTGGATCTTGATGATGAAGCAGCTGTGAATGCTGGAGCAGCAGAGAGTGATGAAGACTTTCACACTCCAAATGGATCAACTAGTGTAGGCGTTTCATCAAAAAAGAGTATGAAGAGGCTCCCAGATCGTGGTATGGAAAAAAGGAAACATAAGGTTCTCTCTACTGAACCTAAGCAACCGGTTCTTAATGAAGACATGAAGGCTTGGGTGAAAGAGTTATTTGAGCAGAATTTCAATGCAATGGAACTTAGGTTACATAAACAGATGGATGAGAAATTTGAGACACTGCAGTCCGAGCTGAAAGGATCGCGCAAGGATGCTAGAGTTGAGCTCAAAGATTCCGGGAACGATGGACAGCCTACACCGACGAAGCCATCGACGAGCCAGCCAGAGTTGAGGAGTTCCACTCGCGGGGTAAAGAAACACTAGTCTTCTATGTTTGTGTGTCTGTTTGTGTTATTGTCATCTATGATATCGGCTTGCCTTTTGTTGTGTTTTATAAGGTCTTTGTGTGTACTTGTCATTGGTTTGTATGTGTCTTTTTTTACACTTATGTATGGTTGTGAACTTTGCTAAGATATTTCGGTAATGCCTAGACATCTTGCTGTGTGAAATTATGATTGTATTTTCACAAATTTTCTTGTGTTGAATATTATGCTTTTAATTGATCATTTAGTTTCCCATTACAGGAAGCGTCTCATAGCCCAGCCGATGGGAATTTCAGTGAAGCAGATGATATCTTCCGAGAGATGGGTACGCAAGGCGTTGAAATGCTGTCTCAGACCTCGTATGTCTAGGGTTTTGATCCATCTCAGACATCTAAGGAAGATGACTGGTGGACTCCGATGACTTCAGTCAGAGGTTCAAAATCTAAACGAAGCAAAGGTAATACAGCTCCACCTCTGTCGCAATGGAAGAAATGGACGAAAGGCAAAGGCAGTACACCCCAGCATCTCGATAACCCATTGCCCGACGGTTCTCCGCAGTTGTCACTTTGTTATTTTTCCAAAGAATCATGGACATGATTCATGGAATGGTGTATGAACCCAATAGCTGTAAAGACTGATCCTTCATTCTTCAATTTGGCTGTAACTACAAGGATAATATGTTCTCCAGAATGGCTTGGGAATGAGGTAATGATTTCTTATACTAGTGTATTTGTGGTGAATATACCTTTGTAACACATCTTTGATGCTTCAATGGTGTTCTGTCCTCGTGAATATTCAGGAAATGGATTCAATTATGTTTATATGGCGAGTGAACACATCTTTCAAGCGTTGGACCCCAACCCGTGTTGCTTTCATGCCCTCCATCTTCTGCCTCCAAATGGACACTGAATTCAACAAGTTTGTCCCGAACAAGAAAACTTATGAATTGCATGAGTTTCTTATTTCTTACGGCAGAGGAGAGCTTCCAGCTCATGGGCGGACTGATCAAGTCTGGGGTGTCGATGTTGATCGTCTCTATTTTCCTCAGTTTGTAAATGGTAGTCGCCGGTTCCTCTTCATGTCTCAAAATTTGTTTCTTCACTTACCAATTTAGTATAAATCCAACGCAGGTAATCACTGGATTGCTGTCTGCATCAACATCATTGAGAGAAAAGTGGAAGTCTTTGATTGCAATAGAGGAAGGAATAGGCAATACATTGAGAAGTTTGCGGCTTTGATTCTGCGGATAGTGAAGGCCGTTGCACCACCTGAAAGCAAGAAGCAGCTACTCGTATCACCATATTCAATAGTAGAGGTACCGATGAAGGCGAGGTTGAACAAGAGTTGTGCTGATTGCAGAGCATACGCACTCAAACACTTGCAATGCCATCTCCTTGGTCTCGACCTCGGTTTAGTAGATGACGAAATCATCCAGGGCTGCAGACAGAAGATTGCTGTGGACTTATGGGAAGCTTCACACAATCCCATCTTAGCTCAGGTTTGTGGGAGCCGAAATTCACACTGTCGATTTTCCGTCCAATATGGAAACTTAGAGAAAACCCTAATTTTCTCGAGGTTCTGGATCTCAGCGGAAATCACTAAAACAAACGAAATTAACAGAATATGGATGAACAACGAAGAACAGAGAATAGAGAATTTGTATGAAAGCTTTTATTAAGTAAGAAATCGACAACTGTTACAAAAGAGAATTGAAGAACTTAGACGTCGAAACGTTCTAAGGATCTGGATTGCTAGTTTAAACGCTAAGTCCTAGATTCCTAAGCTAACAGCCGCCTTTTTAGGTCTGATTTTCGTCCCCTTGCTCTTGCCCTATGCCTCTGGCTTATATTCATCTCCCAAGCGGTTCAGTCTTTCCATTTTTCCCGGATCCGAGTTTTATCGGGAATCTTCCATTTTTCTTGATCCTTCCTTTTCTTCCGCGGAAATCTTCTATTTACCTTCAAACTTGCCTTTTGTCTTCAAACTTGAAATTTATCTTCTTTCTGCGAGTAAACCATCAAAACGTTATCGTATCTTCGGGTTAGATTTCGTTAATATTGCGAGACGGGTTGCGTTTTAGGGCCTTTCGGGCCGTTTTACGATAAAATCCGTTTTACGACTTTATACGAGATCGTTTCCTGATCCGATGTTGTTTTTAAGTAAATTCCCCGAGTTAATCGTAAAGTTTAACTACGTTCGTTTCTTGGTTATTCGTTGCCGCTTTTTACGATTTTCTCGACGTTTTTTATTAAAAACACGTTTTTTATGATTTTAAGGAAAAATATCAAATAAATCGTATAGTTTAGGCAATGTTCGGTGTTTCGTTTACTCGTTGACGTTTTATACGATTTCCTCGAGTACTTTCCGAGAAAACAAATTTTTATGGTTTTTATCGTAAAACTCGAACGATAGGTCGGATTGAGACGAAACGGGGGACATTTTGACCATGGTTCGGAGCACGACCGTGTCAAAGGTCATAAGCACTGAATCGGGGATACGGGAGATCGAGGCTCGGGATGGACGATTCGATGTACGGAGAACCGAGTAGGTCATGGCTTAGTTCACCGTTGGGCGAATTAGCCGGGACGTGGCTAGTTCACCCAACGGCGAACTAAGCCGGTCATGGCTTAGTTCGCCGTTGGGCGAACTAGCCGGGACGAGGCTAGTTCGCCCACCGGCAAACTAAGCCGGCTTGGCTTAGTTCGTCGTTGGACGAACTAGCCGGGACGAAGCTAGTTCGCGTTTTACGGCGGTTACGGTTTTTCGCGGTTTTGTAAAACGGTTCTTCGAGTTTTATAAAACGATTCTTCGAGTTTTATAAAACGATTCTTCGGGTTTTATAAAACGATTCTTGAGTTTTATAAAACGATTATCGAGTTTTATAAAACGATTCTTCGAGTTTTATAAAACGATCCTCGAGTTTTATAAAACGATTCTTCGAGTTTTATAAAACGATTCTCGAGTTTTATATAACGATTCTTGGAATTTTATAAAACAATTCTCGAGTTTTATAAAACGATTCTTCGAGTTTTATAAAACGTTTCATGCGGAAAGCAATGATTCCATCTCTTATAGAAGTTATCGTAGACGTTGATTTCGAGATTACGGTTTTTGACACCAACAAGGTTATGACTCAATGTGTGCCTTCACCATGGGATATGCCTGGTGTCTTTGACCTGTCAGAAGATGACTGATTATGAAACAAATGACAACTTCAGTTTATGTAACAAAACTCTAGCTTTGGTTATTTATGAAACAAATGACAACTTCAGTTTTATGTTTTTTTTTAATTTATGTGATTATTCAACACATACTCGTACACGAAGAACACATTATGTATCAAGGTGACTCATGATTCAACACACCCGAGGATCAAAACTGATTCAAAGAGAAATATTTGGTTATTTTCGGTTCGGTTCTATTATCTAGGATCGGGATCGATCAATCTAAAATAGAGATCGATCAATCTATGATAGATTGACCGGTGAAGATCGACTGAACTGGACAAGGTCGACCATTTTCTGGTCCGTGCTTTTTTATGTTTTTGTTTAATCATCGAGATCGACCGTCGGGATCAACCGACTCTTTCTGGGATCGATCGATCTATGATAGATCGATCGGTAAGATCGACTGAACTTGACAAGGTCGATCAGTTTATGCTCCGTGCTTTTTTATGTTTTTGTTTAATCATCGAGATCGACTGCCGGATCGACCGACTCTTTCTGGGAACGATCGATCGCGTGCTTTTTTATGTTTTTGTTTAATTAAGACATGAAGTCTCACACATGTTGTTTTTTTTTGCAGGTTAAACTAGTACCCGACGGGTAGCGGGTCTTATCCGGATCCGAACTTGTACCCACTAATAAATATAGTCATTAACATGAATCAATTTTGTTGCAAGAGAAATAAAACAGAAGATCGATTTGTATTAAGGGAAATAAGAAGAACAAAAATCAGAGAGACAGAAGAACACAAATAACAAACACTAAATGGGTACATCGCATGTTCCTCTCTTGTGTTCTCTAGTACCACAACGTCACACACAAGGTTGTAGATGAACCCTTCTTCACATAGCCCACAAAATTAGATACTTGTCGATCATTGCTAATAATAATGGGAGGATTCCTTCTTTGATTTACCATCTCATAACTGAACTCGACGTTAAACGCATTATGTTCCACACTGTAATCCTCACACACCGTCATCTTGAGCTCCTCTAACAGAGTACTAGTTTCCAATGTTACCATTCGGCCACGCCTTTTTTTGTCTGCCACGAATCTCCACTCGTCATTGCAACTAGACATCCATTCACCGGATTTAACATAGATTATAACCATCTTGTATTGATAAGAAGAATAGATGAAGTTTTTTTATGAAGAATGTTAAACACACAGAGAAAACAGAGAAAAAGATCGTGAGGAAAAGAGAAAATCGTGGACAAAATATTCTCTAAGATATTTAGGAAACATCTTCAAACGAATATCAAAGTTTCCATATTTTGCGGATTAACTAGAATATGTATACTACCTAAGGCAGAACACAGTAGAAAAGGTGGGAAACGTATTCTTTTTCAAGTGTCACATAAGGTAACATGCAGAATTGGTTATGTCACAAAATCTGGATGAGATATATCAATAAGTTATGGTTATAAATCGGTATCTAGCTTCACGTACACCAAGGACATATGCCTTGATTATAACGTTACCAATACTACCTTGGTTAGAATAGACAAGAAAAGTTATATTACGTTTCATACCTCGGGTCTATCTAGCAAGAACACCCAGTATATGATTTCTAACTGAGTAGATAACCAGAATGAGTATTCTATCTGTAGCTAGAAGATAAAATAAAATATGATTTCACTTTAAAAAAATAAAAACTTAAACATATATGTTGTCATACATATGTTTTCTAGCCTTCTCATATTTTTTCTGTTTTTCAAAATTAGTTTACTAAATTTTCATTAATAAAGGGTAAAACATGTCCAGAATTGTCAAAAGTATGAGAAGTCCTATATGGACAAATAACAGTTCAAAGTGTCCCAATTTTCCAATTTTCCCTTTTAAGAATGCGCCATCAAGACCTATAATAGGCCTACAACACTTCTTCCAAGTTCTCCTTAATGGGTCAAAACATATGTAAAAACTTTCAAAGACTTGTCTTTCTTCCTTTTAAACAGTTACTATCTCTGTTGTAACATTTTCGTTAGACCTTTTTAACTCTGCCTCATAGTCCAAAAGCTTAGCAAACAGTTGTTTTTTCGTCTCCAACACCATGTCCAAAGCTATCCTCCTTGCTTTTTGACATTTATATATCGAAACTGAGAGACTGTACATGTGCATCAACTCGTCTCTGATGTCCGAACTTCTTATTTCAGGCCTTCGCCTTGCTTCATCTTTGAATAGCTTTGCAATAGTTCCTTGGCTGACCATCCTAGCTCTTCCTGTTGGCAAATGATTATGCTTGTCCTCATACACTTTTACCATCCACTTCCTTATAGGTTTCTCCAAAGAGCAGTATATCCTCCATCCACATTTCTCGTGAGAACATATTGCAGCATGCTTCGTCGCCTGCCACTTATTCATCTTAACATCATA